CGGCGGGCTGGCCGTCGACCCGCCCGGAATGGCCAAGAAGAAAAAGGGCAAGGCGCTAAGAAGCCGCGGTCGGAGTGCACGCCGGAGGAGATCGCCAAGTTGGACACGGAATCGACGAAGTGGAGGGACCGGAGGGCGGTCGCCAAGGACAACGTCGCCGCGGCCAAGAGAGCCGCCGACCGCGCTGCGATTGAGGCCGAGGTCGAGGAGAAGGAGGCCATCGTCAGCAAAGCGCACGCCCTTCTCATGGTTGGCGTTTGTCGTCCGCCCGGTTTCTCTGGAGGGGTCGTCGGTCGCCCGGCCTCCGCACTGTCAGTCGCCGACATCGCGGACCACACCCTTATCGCCCGACTTTCCTCCACCTAGGCACGACGGCCAGACCCGTTTCGGGGGGGGGGGTCGCCGGACCTTGGCATGTTCGCGCCGTCCACACCGCGCCCCTCGGGCGTCATCGACCTCAACGTCACCCCTGGGTCCAGCAGCGGCGGCCGGCCGGCCGTCGAGATGCAAAGAAAGCAAGAACGGCCGCCGTTTACCGGCACCATGCCGTCCCCCCGCGTCTTGTTCGACGGAATGCCAACACCAACGCCACTGGTCGACGACCCCTACTACGACAAGTTCATGGAGGAAGTAGACGCGGACAGGATGGGGTAAAGGATGCGGCCGCGCGGTGGGCGCACGGCCACCGCATCCCAGGACAGGCCCGGACACGACCCCATCACCCTGCCCAAACGGACAGAATCCGGACAAAACGGACGTCCGTTCGGGGTCGCGCGTGGATTTGGCCTTAGCTCTTCATCAGAGTCGAAGTTGCACTGCCATTGCCATGGATAACTGAGTGACTGGCATGATCTTTATGTGTTTTCGCACAACCTCTTTGTAGCGGGTTGGGTCGGTGGTTGTCTACAGCGAAGTTAGCGTCATTTGCTAAGAGTAAAGAAAGGACGATTGTCGTTGCACAACACGATCACCTATGGGGCCATCGGGCCCTTTGTGGTTTCGGCAAGGGGGAGAGGCACGTTGCACAAGGAGCGGAGGCCATAGAACAGCACGGCAGCGACGACTCAGGACATTTTTACCCAGGTTCGGGCCGCCGCGAGGCGTAAAACCCTACTACTTTGATGGATTGATAAGAGATCGTAGTGGAAACGCGACGCTCAAGCCCGACAAGGTTGCCTTGGGACGAGGGCAGCTACGCGCATATGAGTGTGCAAAGGTCTGAATCCTTTCTAAGGTTGCATCGGTCCTCCTTTTATAGGTCAAGGGGTCACCACAATGGCAAGTGGTCATTATGCACTGATCAGACAGCAAACAATGCTATCATACATAACTTTGCAGACTGGACAGAGCGCATTAAATGCACACACGTCAAGGGAGTAGCCCGGCAAGCCTTGCCGCGCCATTTTAACTGTCTCTCGCCCTGTCCGCTTGACACGCCTCAGGACGGGTGTCGCGCAGGGGGTGTCTTCTCCTTGAATGGATGCCACGTGCCAGGGGACAACCACTTAATCACTTGAGGGCTCGACACCGCATTGAGAAGTGACCTGGGTCGCTGTGCGATGGGGTGTCTTGGCGGGGTTGGCGTCCCCAGCGTCCCCGGCAAGCTTGCCAGGGGAGTCTCGAGACTTGTCTTTGGTGCGGGCTCGCCTGCCCGGGAAGGGCCGATTTTCCTTAGTGGTTCCTTGCCCCTATGGTTTGTCTTGCTCTTCTTGATCCGCTCTTTGATTTCTCAAATGAGCTACCTCTTCTGCTTGGCCTCGTCTTGAATGCTGTAAACTTGCTTTCGAGCCTGTGTACAATCCGGGCAACATACACCAGGGTTTGTTGCACCGACAACGATGATGCTGCTTCAGATGAAGTGATGACAATGACACAAATGTGCTACCTTGACGAGGCTTTCTTTGCAACGATATGTGATATTAGGGGTGGACCAAAACTCGTAGCTCGCAAGCTCGATCATTTGGCTTGTCAAGCTCGTAGCTTGCTTCTTAATGAAGAGAGCATTCACTGATTTGAGCTCGTCAAACTTAACGAGTTTCACAGGCAGCTCGTTAAACTCGTTAGTACATCACAACACATATTGTTGTCTTATGTGACAGCCTTTTCATGGCACCTCAACCGTCTATTCAATCTAATCGACCCACAAGCCTGTATGAGGCACCAAACTGGCGCAAAAAGTCATGTAGGTATCATCTTTGTAAATATCACCCGCATCATCTCGTAGACCATAAGGTTGGTCATAGTGGGGAGTAACTTAGACTAGTAACATGCATATGTTACTAGTCTATGTTACTACCTTTATAGTGCATAGTATCATAATTGGTATTATTTATTGTCATGCATGACACATAGTAGAATCATATTTATTATGTTACGGTATCTACCTATGTTACTATAACCATCTCTTTCTTCTTTAATTGTCTTCGTTCTTCTCATCAACTAACCAAATTTGCTGCTCGGCCGCAAAAGTTAAAAACAAACAATAGGACAAAATACTAATCTTGCTGCTGACCGGCCCCGCTGAACCACTACTCGAGGGCACCACCAGCCGGACCAGTCAGTCTCTTCTACGTAGGCAGGTCCAACTATGTATGGCTCGTTGTTCTTTGGTTTGGGCCCCGTGCAACCATCTTTTCCGGTTTCGCCGGGACAGGTATACTTGAATAGTGCTTGCTTTTACGCGACGTCACAGGAAAGGAAAGGTGGCCGTTTGTTTGACCAGCACAGAGACAGAGACAGAGACAGAATGTGCGCGGCGCAAGGCCGAAAAGGATCGATCGATAGTGCTTCGTGAGGCGTGAGGCGGCAAGCAAAGCATACCCGCCGTAAGCTGATGGATAAAGCTATGTATCTACTCTCCATAGAAGATTAGGAGTAAAGCAGTCTACGGTGACAGTTTAGCGAACATCAGCGGGTACGTAGACCGCATGACATGGAAAGAAGCCGAGATGGATTCGGGCCGGGCTGCGTGCCGTCCAACTCCGTACCGCACCGCCGTCGACGGCCGGCCGGACAGGGTTTTTTTTTAAAGGACCCGGCCTCTGCATCAATGCATGCAGCCATTTTATTAGTTATTCATAAAGAACATACAAAGTAATACATCAGTAAGCATGAAACCATCATCTAAAGAACACTTGTTGCTACTTCTATCCTGTTGAGAAGGGATGCCGAATGTCCGAGCCAAATACCAAACAGATATCACATCAAAGCTTAACATCCAAAACCGGATGCCCTAGCCTAGCCACATACCAGTACTGGGTCACATACCGGACCGGCGCACTCTCAAAGGCGACCGCCGTCATCTTTCACTGGTCCATCTCCATAGCAGGAACTGACGCATCGACCTTGCCTGGCTTGCCGTCGATGCCACCACGGCACCAGAAAACGCCACCATCCTGCACGTAGCCGTCCGCACGCG